ATTATTTGAGAATTAAGTAATCAATGTTTATAACAAATCAAATAAAATAGTTTATAAAATGATTTTTGAAATCACACAGATTTCTGGGACAAGAATTTAATGACAAACAATCTCAAAACAGATTTCTCGGGCAAGAAATTGGATTTCTGGTCCAGAAATTAGATTTCTGGTCCAAAAATCGATTTCTTGGCCAGAAATCACATTTCTAACCCAGAAATCTATTTCTGGACTAGAAATCGATTTCTTGTCAAGAAATCGATTCCTTGTCCCAGAAATCGATTTCCGGTCCATAAATCACATTTATGGGACTAGAAACGAGATAATCTAGAAAAAAGATTTCTGGGAACCAGAAATCACATTTCCGACCCAGAAATCACATTTCTGACACAGAAATCGATTTCTGACCCAGAAATCACATTTCTGGGTCAGAAATCGATTTCGTGACAAGAAATAGATTTGTTCACATTTCCGTCCCATAAATCGATTTATGGGTCAGAAATGTGATTTCTGGGACATAAATGTGATTTCAGGGCCAGAAATTGATTTCTTGTCACGAAATCGATTTCTGGACCAGAAATCGATTTATGGGTCAGAAATCACATTTCAGGACCAGAAATGTGATTTCTGGGCCAGAAATTAATTTTTTTTACCCAAAAATTGATTTCTGGATCGGAAATGTGATTTCTAGGCAAGAAATTAATTTCTGGACTAGAAACGACTTGTCCCAGAAATCGATTTCTGTGTCAGAAATCAATTTCTGACCCAGAAATCGATTTCTGGGACAAGAAACGAGACGATCCAGAAATCGATTTCTGGGTCGGAAATGTGATTTCTGGGTCAGAAATATGATTTCTGGGTCAGAAATCGATTTCTGGGAAAGAAACGAGACTATCCAGAAATTGATTTCTGGGCCCAGATTCGATTTCTGGACCCAGAAATCAATTTCTGGGCCCATAAATCATTCAATGTTCCAAGAAATCTATTCTACAATTTTATTTTTTATTTTTTGCCATATTCATTTATTAATTTTAATAGTATATATATGTGGCTCATTAAATAAAAAAATTATAACAATACATTTACACTAGTATTCCCGAGATATCACCGGAATGTTGTCGGAATGAATATAGAGAGAATGAATTTTTTTGTTTTTTGTTAAGAGAATTAATTTTTTTTTAAGAGAGAAGAGAGATGAAGGTAATGAAGGAGAGAAGAGAGATAAACTTTTTTTTAAAAAAAAAATTATAGTAAGGGTATTTAAGACTTTTCAAGTGCCAAAATGGCTAAAAAGATGTTTTTTTCAAACTATGGCTAAAATTTGTGTTTATCATTTCTACATGGCTAAAAAAAAAATTCTCTGTAATATTTATTTATCTTGCACCTTATTTATTTCCTTTGTTTTTTTTTTTCTTGCCGTACAAGTTATTTACTTTTAGGTCATTAGGAGTTCTATTTAATTAACTTGTTTAATTGATCGACTTAGATTGGAATAAAACATACGTTTCTGCCAATTAGTTTTGAGAAAGTAACGATCATGGACCAGTGGGAGGAAGTAACATATGACCTCCGGCAGTCAATCGCCGCTCAAACCGACTTCTCCTCCCGGCTCACGAAGAACCTCATCTCCACCCACGTCAAGGACAACAACTTCGTATTCTCGCCCCTCTCAATTCACGTCGTGCTGGCCATGCTCGCGGTCGGGTTGGGCCGCACTGCCCGCAAACAGCTCCTGCGCTACCTCATGATCGATTCGACCGAGGAGCTCAATTCCCTATCTTCGCAGATCTCCACCTCGCTGCTGGCCGACGGCGGGACGCTCGGCGGCCCTCTCCTATCCATCGCCAACGGGATTTGGGTCGAACGCACCCTTACCCTGAAGCCGGCTTTCAAAGAAACCATCGAGAATGCTTATGGGAGCGCAATAGGTCATGTTGATTTTCGCAATCAGGTCAGGTTTCGTAACTTCATACCAACTGGATTTAGGATTTGTGATTGACGATAGTACAGTTGATTTCATCATCATATTCTGTGTTCAGTTTGACTAATCGTGCTGCAATCATGTGTCACCATGTTTCTGGTAGTGCCGTCTTGTGTTGTGTTCACCGGGTCATTTGTCTTCGTGTTTCCCAATCGTGCCAGCAATTGTCAACTCTAATTTGTGAGCCAACTCTTTCATTAATTTGATTTTCTATGAAACTTTATTTCAGTTTAATGTGGCAAGAGAAGCAGTCAATGCTTGGGCCGAGGAGAAAACAAATGGTCTGATAAAAAATCTGCTCCCATCCGGCTCAGTCACTAGTTTGACTATGGTCATCCTTGCAAATGCACTCTACTTCAAAGGAGTCTGGGCTTCGAAATTCAAACCGTCTCTAACCAAAGTCCGCGACTTCTTCCTCTTGAACGGAAGTACGGTCCGTGTCCCCTTCATGACCAGCTCCATGAACCAATTCGCGGTCGCCTTTGACGATTTTAAGGTTCTGAAGCTACCGTACGAAGAGGGCCAGGACACGCGGGAATTCTCCATGTACTTCTTTCTTCCCAATGCCAGGGATGGCTTGCGAGCGCTCGTCGAGAAATTCGGCTCGATTTCTGGGTTCATAGAGCACCACATGCCACATCTAAGTGTGAAAATGGGGGATTTTCGTCTCCCCAAGTTTAAAATAAGCTTCGATTTTGAGGCTTCGGATTTTTTTAAAAGTCAAGGATTAGTTCTCCCTTTTTGCGGTGGTTTGACCGAGATGGTTTACCCTTCCCCGTATGATCCTCTCGAAATCTCCGGCTTTTTTCATAAGGCATACGTAGAGGTGGACGAACAGGGCACGGAGGCTGCAGCAGTGACGGCAGGCATGGGTCGTGGTGGTTGTTCGAGGTTCAGGCCTCCACCTGTGGACGAGTTTGACTTTGTAGCTGACCATCCATTTCTCTTTGTAATAAGGGAGGAGATCAGCGGTGTTGTTCTCTTTGTTGGGCAAGTTGTGAATCCTCTGCTGCCTGTGTGACTCGATAATATTGATAGGCTCTCTTTTTTAGTGACACAAGTTTGTGAATTTCTTTAGGGGGTTTAGGTTTTGTGGTGATTGCATTTTGAACCTTCAGTTGATTTGCAAATGCTTTAGTTGAATTTCAGCTTTGGGGTCTTTGAAATCATGTATTTTAATTTTAGAAATTTAATAATTATATATATACTATTTTATTACTTATAACTTTAGTTTTGGCACTGACAGATATGAGATTCCATTCTACCTCAACCTCCGGCTTATTGTTCTCAGAGTTATCTTTTGTCCCTACGTGTTTTGCTACGCTATTCAACACCTTTTTCATTCCTCTCCTGTTTATCTTCTTCATCTTCCAATGTTTTGACTTACGTGTGGAACCCGAGCGTCATCGACCAGCAGTACTGCCCCCATTCCAACTGCATGGAGGGTGTGAGTTCCCGATCGTCATCGACCAGCAGTACTGCCCTCATTCCAACTGCATGGAGGGTGTGAGTTCGGCCGTGCAAGTGGAGAATGTGATGTTCAAGAACATTCCGAGGGATCTCGCAGACACGAGTTGCGGTTAACTTGCTGTGCAGCAATATTCGACCTAGCAAGGACATTAAGCTCGTCGACATAGCCTTGTCGTACATGAACCGTAGAGGACGGGAAGTCGCCCAGTGTTCTAATTGTCTTGGGTGCTGCCTATGGAATACAGCTCCCTGCTGCTTGTTTGTATTTTTGTTCACTGGTTTGTTAGTAGTCTGAAAGAACATAAAATTTCAAGTGGTTGCTGTGTACAAGTACTTGAAATGTGCCGAAATTACAATGTAAACTGTTTCAACTTCTCCAATTTGCATAGTTGCTTGGATTTGCTTAGACATGGAAGAAATAAAAAACAAAAAAAAAAAACAAAACAAAAAAAAAAATGATGATGTGGAATAATAGGAAAAATTGCACTATTCGTCCACTAACTATGCCCTCGTTGCACTTTCGTCCTTTAATTGTTTCCGATTTACAATTGGTACACTAACTTTTTTTTTTTTAGTAATTTTAGTCCAAAATTACATTCCGGTACTCATTTTCGCCGGAATAGCTGATGTGGCGCCTAGTCAGATCGGAATTTCCATTCTCGGCGTGATGTGGCACGAGGTGACGCCTAGTCAGATCGGAAAAATTGCACTATTCGTCCACTAACTTTACATTCGTTGCACTTTCGTCCTTTAATTGTTTCCGGTTTACAAAATCAGAAAAAAATATTAAAAAAATCAAACGAAAAATAAAAAGCTTTAAAAAGAAAAAGAAAAATCAAAAGAAAAAGAAAAAAATATAATTTTTTAATTAAATAAAAAATGAAATATTTAATGATTAAATAAAAACGAAATATTTAATAAAAACGAAATAAATTTATAATGAGTGATAAATATTTTTTATTTGATGATTAAGTATTTAATACAAAAAAAAATATTTAACAAAAAATGAAAAATATTTTTTTAATAAATATTTAATTTTTCATTAAATATTTACCATTAATAAAAAATATTTATTAAATATTTATTACTCATGAAAATATTTATTTCATTTTATATTTCTTTTTTTATTAAATATTTTTTATATTTTTTATTTAAATAAAAAATATTTTTTAATTAAACGAAAAAATGATAAATATTTCTTTTTTATTAAATATTCAACCATTAAAAAAAAACATTTATTTCTCATTAAACATTTATTTTGTTTTTCATTTCGTTTTTTATTAATTATTTCGTTTTTTAATTAAATGAAAAATGTATTTTTATTTAAAAAAAAGATATTTATTTATTCATTAAACAAAATAATTTTTTTATTAATTAATATTCGTTTTTTTGTTAATTTTTTTATCCACATGTATTTTCTTTTTCTTTTTAAAGCTTTTTCTTTTTCTTTTGATTTTCTTAATATTTTTTTTCTTCTGATTTTGTAAATCGGAAACAATTAAAGGACGAAAGTGCAACGAATGTAGAGTTAGTGGACGAATAGTGCAATTTTTCCGATCTGACTGGGCGCCACATCAGCTATTCCGGCGAAAATGAGCACCGGAATGTCATTTTGGACTAAAATTACCAAAAAAAAAAGAAGTTAGTGTACCAATTATAAACCGGAAATAATTAAAGGACGAAAGTGGAACGAGGGTATAATTAATGGACGAATAGTGCATTTTTTCCTGAAATAATATCTTATCAGACAAATATGCTGAGATAATTTTCAAAACTTGTCAAATTATTTGCTTGATATATGTGTTTGGAAATTATTCTACCAAAATTTCAATCAAGTGCAACTGCCAATGGATATACTTTTTTCACATATAAAATTTCAAACAGACATCAACACATACTAAGCTAAACACATTAGCCACAACTGACTCATTTCCAAAAAGTTCGATCAATTGTCCTACACCATAGAATCAAACAGTTTCCAGGCTTCACACAAAAGCCCGCAATCCGTGTACATGTGAAGTATCTGTTGAGAGAAGATGATAATATGGCATACGAATTAAAAAAAAAAACGAGAAAGTAAACAACACAAGATTTACGTGGTTCGGCAATATGCCTACGTCCACAGCGGCTGAGGGATATATTTTATTATGAATCATACTCAATACATCAATACACCATGTATTTATATCATAACCCTACAAGGTATTAATTTTCTTAAATACCCCGTAATAAATAAATAAATTAAATAATATTAAATAATATGCTTTAGACAAATATAGAATGCAGATAATCCTCTCATGCCAAACAACGCGATTTAAAAATTGACTCAGATCCAACAATCCTACACAATATTTCATTAAAATAAATATTAAATAAAATACTTTAAACAGAAATTAGATAAGAAATTTTGAATCTGCCTTTTTTTTAAGTATAGATAGACTTTACGTACAATTTTTGACTTTACCGATTTTATGAGATTTGTTTTGACTAAATCGATGTTATTATGGAATAAGAAAAATAAATAAAGTCTTTTTTATTTTAGTAAAGATTGTACGTACTTCTGTTGACTTATCGGATGTTATGGGATATATTTTTCTCTACCGATTTTATGGGATATAAGACAAATAAATAAAATAATTAAATAAAATTCTAGATAAAAATAACAATGCATTAATTACGTTGACTTTTCAACATACTAAAGATTATACGTACTTCTGTTGACTTATCGGATGTTATGAAATTTTTTCTTTCCTCTGATTTTATGGGATATAAGACAAATAAATAAAATAATTAAATAAAATTCTGGATAGAAATAGCACGTTGACTTTTCAACATACTAAATTTGGTAAATATGATACCTTATTATATAAGTATAGATTTACTTCTTACTTACTTTATAAGATGAAAAAAGTTAACCTATTATTTTGAAGTGTGTAAAACTTATTCCATTTCAAAGAGGGGTGAAACAATTATTTCTTTTTCTTTTCACACATATATACAAGGAAAATATGCTCTGTAATCAGATATCTTGTCTTGTTAATATAAAATTTTGATATATGTTTTTTAATTAAATTTAATTGAAAAACGTTTTTTATGTAAAATAAAGTGGTGGGCACTGTACACCGTAGACAGGTGAGCAGAACTGTGTTAATATATTGGCAAAAATTCAATTTTGGTCCGTTAACTTGTCTATTGTCAACTTTTGGTCCGTTAACTTGTCTCTCATAAAAAATGGTCCATTATGTTACATTTTTCATCAGTTTTAGTACATTACTCCAGTTGGCGGGATTACGAGATGATGTGGACCGGGATTGGAACTACGTGGAGGGATAAGATGTTGACGTGGTAGGATAAAAAACTGATTTGGCATCTCGTAATCCCGGGCCACGAGATTAGCGTACTAAAACTGATGAAATGTGTAACATAATGGACCTTTTTTGATGAGAGACAAATTAGTGTACCAAAAGTGGACAATGGACAAATTAGCGGACCAAAATTGGATTTTTGCCTTAATATATTACATACATATTGGATTGATGCCGACTTATCCAATAGGCAAGTACGAGAATTATTTTTTCTTTTCTTTTTTGATGCAATCAAGGATTCGATGATGAGAGTATTGTACTTTTTCTTGTTTTTATGAAGACTTGAATATGAAAAACAATTATTATTATTATTATTATTTTTCTGCTTATATGAAAAATTCTAATGACACAATCGTAATAATATTGGGAAAAAAAAAAATCATTGACATATATACATATTAGTGATAATACGAGCCAAAATAATCATTCACATATATAAATATTAATTCATTTGTGAGACTAATATTTATTTCATAATCGTCAGCTCATTAAACAATGGTTGAATTTACTGGGCATGCGAATTGTTGTTTCACGCCTCACACCGCAGGATTAGTGATTGCATGATTAGTTTAATTATTTATTTCCTTTATTATTAATATTTGAATTATAGCTTTAGTAGGATAATATTTATTTACCTTGCTCCATATTTATTTCCTTTTTTTTTT